ATTCATTCATTCCCGAACTCTCGAGTTTGATACTGGAGTCCTGTGGAAAAAACAAGCCAAAGATGTCAAGTCTGTCAAATAAATCTAACAGATAAAATAACCCACACTGATCATTCATTCATTCATTCATTTCATTCATTCATTCCCGAACTATCGAGTTTGATACTGGAGCCCTCCGCCATTCATTCATTCCCGAACTCCTCAAGTTCATTCATTCATTCATTCCTGAACTCTTGAGTTTGATACTGGAACCCTGTGGAAAAAAGAAGCCAAAGATGTCAAATCTGTCAAATAAATCTAACAGAAAAAACAAGTCAAACTGATCATCCATCCATCCATTCATTCATTCATTCATTCCCGAACTCTCGAGTTTGATACTGGAGCCCAGTGGAAAAAACAAGCCAAAGATGTCAAGTCTGTCAAATAAATCTAATAGAAAAAACAACCCACACTGATCATTCATTCATTTATTCATTCATTCATTCCCGAACTCTCGAGTTTGATACTGGAGCCCAGTGGATACTGGAGCCCTCCGCCATTCATTCATTTCCGAACTCTTGAGTTTGATACTGGAACCCTGTGGAAAAAAGAAGCCAAAGATGTCAAATCTGTCAAATAAATCTAACAGAAAAAACAAGTCAAACTGATCATCCATCCATCCATTCATTCATTCATTCATTCCCGAACTCTCGAGTTTCATTCATTTATTCATTCATTCCCGAACTCTCGAGTTTGATACTGGAGCCCTGTGGAAAAAACAAGCCAAAGATGTCAAGTCTGTGTATTATCGGGAATGAATGGATGAATGAATGAATGAATGATTAGTTTGGCTGCACCTTGACAAGGGAGGAGCTGCATTAAATGCTTCGCATGCCCTTTTACTTTCTTTGAAATCCTCATCTGCTGCTTGCAGAGCAGCTACAGCCATTCCATGAGATTTTTCTGTGTTTCCCTCATCAAGGATTAATCCATGATAATAATATGCTCCAGCCTGGTTAAGTCGATGGAAAAAAGTGCAAACAGATTAGAGTCTTGTCCAATTGCATGCAACTACAAAAGAATTTCTATGTTGTCAATAGATATCAAAGTTAATGATAAGAACGAGATGAAGAATCTGAAGAAAATGGCATATGCGAGAAGATCAATATGTAGTAATGAAACACAAAATGTAGAATATATCACACACCTTTGCTTCGATGTATTTCCACTTCACAAAAAATACGGTAATACTAATTTACATACTTGTTAAGTTTTTGTCACTTTAGCTTAATAATTATTCTATCATGTTCAACTTGATTAGGCAAATCCCGAGACTCAGGAGCCAAGATCATTAATTGACAATTGGGGTGACATGCACCGTCATGGGCATAATTTTATCAATCCAGATGCAGAACATGCATTTGTAAGTAAATTTTAAACTTATTTCTTTTTTTGTATTTAACATAACATATTATACTATTTTTATTCATTTTTATTTCATTTACCTTTCCAGGCTCAGATGGAGGTGGAAAGAACCATGCAGATGACACAGTCTGCTGGGAAAGGTTCATCCACGGCGGTCAATGAGGAGGGGATTATATCCCCAAGTCTTGGGAAAGCGTAGAGGACACACTAAGGGAGTGGGACCGACACTGCCACGGAAGAATCGTTTAAGCGCTTCCACCTCATCATCTGTTTCGCAATCGGTTCAGTTAATTTGCCCTAGCATGTCCAAAACTGGCTGAACAACCTTTACATTGAGCAACGGAGCATATTCGACAACCAACAGATCATGATGGAAGTCATGCGCTTGATGAATCCCAACATCAACTTCTTGCCAGTTAACTGCCCCCAACCGTTGGTTCCTCTGTCGCTGAGCGAAACGAAGAAGACGAGGATGAAGACGATAATGCTGCTAATTTAGGAGATTAAAATATTTGTTTTTATTTTTTTATTATCAATACTTTTTAGTATTTCTTAATTAATTTACTTTTTAAGAATTATTTTATTATTGTGTTGACTATTTTATATCAATTATATTATTTTATTTTATTATAAATTTTCTTCTAATTTTTATCTTTATTAATTAATATTATTATGAAGGTACAAAAAAAATACTATTTGCGCGACATTTCTAAGGTGTCGTCGCAAATAGATCACATTACTAGTGACACTATGTCGTCGCAAATACTCTACGACACGTCATCATCAACGATATATTCAATGGAACATTCGTGATGACTTATTCACGATGACTGTTGTCGCTACTATATTTGCGACGACAGCTCAAAAAATTGTCGCGTAAATATATCATTTGCGTTTAATTTTTGGCGGCGACTAATTTGTAACGACATGTCGTCGAAAATTCAATATTTGTAACGGCATATCACCTATTTGCGATGACATTAAGTCGCCGCAAATTACTTTTTTGTTGTAGTGCGCGTACGTACAGGCAAGTAGTACGTTAAATAAGATATAGTGTCATACAACCTATTAAAACGTGAGTATGTATTGAGTTCTAGAAGTGTTATGGTTTAGCAGTTTGTAGCGATAAATGCTCCAACTATTATTTATTAGTGTTATGTTTCAAAGGGTAAGATGACTTAAAATCAATAGCTCCGGAGCAATTTCATAAAATTTTTAGAAGTGTAACATCACTATTTAGTACAATAAACCCAAGGAGTATTTTGATCTAGGTACATAATTTAAGGGTGATTATAACTTAAAATTAGGCAAAGTAACATAACAATTTTTTATTCTCATGAAAATCATTCATATGTGTGTAACATTCTGTTTGTTATAATACATAATATTGCATGTATTAGATTACATTTTGAATGTGACCCTTAAACATACTGAGTATCGCACAAATAAAAGAAGAATGTTACACGGTAAATACATAAATAGTTGCATTTGTTGGATTAATCCGGCTGTCAGACTCGAGACAGTTGAATGTTGCATGTGCTGGATTATATTTTTTGAATGTTACACTTAAACTTATTGAGTGTTATACACATAAAAGAAGAATGTTACACAATAAATACATAAATGGTTACATTTGTTGGACCAATACGACTGTCGGACTCAAGACATTTCCAATTAAATTAAGCCTTAAAAAGATGTAATTCCTAGTACTTTGTAAAGGGTAAAAATTACTAAAACTTTAAAGCACCAGCCTTCTACACAAGATTTTAGTACAATAACTCAGTACTTATACACCTAGCCATGGTCATCCAATATGTTTTTTTATTACTACATTTTGAAAATATGGATCTTTTTATTAGGCAGCTTTTGTCCATTAAGACTCGGTGTCTTTAGCAGGCTAACAAGTTATAACTACATCTTTTCTATCAAGGAAAAAAATAATAATAAAATAAACTTAATTAACTTGGTCTTTCAGACAAATAAAATACACTTAATTAACTTGGTCTTTCAGACAATGGTCTTAATTAATCACGTTGACCTGGTCCAAGAGAAATTAACTACCCTAATTCTCTCATTCTCTCTCTTTATCTATACAAAACCCATACATGCCATCTTCCAATCACAAACATTTAAAGCTACTAATACGCAACCAAGAAATAAGTTTTAAGCTCATCACAGATTTAAAAACCCCACTAGACACCTAATAGCAAGCTAGGAAATGGCTTCAACGGCAAGTCATTTAGCAGCATTTGCATTAATACTCTCTCTTGCAGCAACATGCTCCTCAGCGGAACTCTCTCCGCCGCCGCACTGTCGACCATCAAAAGCATCGTTGAGGCCGCTGTGGAGAAAGAAGGACGCATGGGAGCTTCTTTACTTCGTCTCCAGTTCCATGATTGTTTTGTCAATGTAATTATATATTTTCGTCTTAGAGTACTATTACCAGAACAAGACCAAAAACTCTCATGATATTTCTTTCACTAATTATCTTTACCATGGAGATCGATTATAATACTAACTTGCTTATGTATTGTTGTATAAATTAATATTCTAGGGTTGTGATGGCTCAATACTTCTTGACTCATCTGAGACCATCGACAGTGAAAAGAACGCGATTGCAAATATGAATTTGGTGCGGGGATTTGAGGTTGTGGATGACATCAAGATCGCGGTGGATAGCTGCTGTGGTGGCCCAATTGTCTCCTATGCTGATCTCTTGGCCGTTGCTGATCGTGATTCTGTGGTGGCGGTAGATGTCACTTTCTTGAGTCCAGCTCTATTATCGCTATTTTTCTGTTCCTGTTCCTGTGGTTATCAATCCACTATTTATTTCTCATATAATTTAATTTACGGTGACATGATTAGATAATTAGGAACTAAAGATTAGGAACAATATTTAAGTAAATAAAGGATGTGTGGAAATTTAGTTAGGGACAGGAATATGAAATACAAAAATGAGATAGCACATTTGAACCAGTTATTTTGTCGCTCAAAATTTGAACTCATTACTATAAAAATCATTACTATACGCGCTCAAAATATTATTTGAACGCTTATGCTCTGATTATAAGTTTGGCAACGTATTGACTGATGTCCTTCAAAGAAAGAAAGAAAGAAAGGAAAAGAAAAGAAAAGAATAGAAGAGAGAGAGAGAGGAGTTATTATATATTATTCATGATGCATTTATTATAGGCTCGAATATATTTATTCGGAATTGTCTCCAAACAGGCAGCAGTAGAAACACATGTCTGGTCAGCACAATAGCATGCAAACGTTGGATGGATTGAAATTGGACAGACATGATTAAACGTTTTTTTTATATTGTATTTAGGACCCGCCAGGGGTAGCTAATAAAAGTAGATCCGAGGAAAGTACCTAAAGTATGTTGGCAAAGATCTAGCTAGATATATTAAAATAATGACTCAAATATTTGGGAATCGGAAATGTGAAACGCTTGTCGTTTGAAGGTTTTTGGGCTATGTTTATCATTTGTGAATTTTGGGTTTCATTAAGCAAGAAGAAAAAAGTTGGGGTTTCATTCTCAGCAAGAAAGGCAAAAAAAAAAAAGTTGGGGTTTCATTATTACTTCTTCGCTGGGTTCATTCCGAGTTAATTTTTAACGGGGCCTTCTCTTAATTAGTTAATTTTATAAGGATTAAATCAAGTTGTAAAAATTGTTGACGTTCCGGTTTTTAGAATAACGTCAGTTGTCTTTTTTCTTCATTTACTAAAAAGAAAAATACTAGTTTGAGAGATATTTTGTTATGATTGTTCACAAGAACTCTTAAAAGCATAAGTAGTTTAGTTTATGATCTATAAATATATGCATAACTAATAGCTTAGGATTTATTTAATCTTGATTAATTTGTGTTGCGATTTATGAGAGACAATATTACGTATATACCAAATTCAGTCAGAATTCAAATACCAAAGTTGTTGTAATTATATTCATGTATATGGTCAAGTAGTTGTGATTTATAATGTGAGTATGAATAGGTTTTGATAATGAGTATGAAGACACATTTTATAAGCATATAAAATTTGAATATAAAATCCTAAGAAGAAAAAAAACAAAAACAAAAATTTTAGGGCAAACATCAAAAAAGGGGTCAAAAAGGACTAAAATGAAAAAAATACATAATTTTTAAAGCAAAACGAACCAAAATTAAAAAAAAAATTAGGGCAAAAAGCAAAAAAAAAAAAAAAAGACATTAAAAATGACCAAAATGAAAAAATAAATAAGTTTTAAGGCAAAAAAGGAACAAAAAATAAGGAAAAAAATAAAGGAAGGACTAAAAGGTAAAAAGAAAAAAAGAAGGGCAAAAAATAAGAACAAAAAAATAGAAGAAAAAAAGGAGGGACCAAAAGATAAAAAGGAAAGACAAAATAAGGACTAAAAAATAAAAAGAGAAGGTAAAAAGATTGGTACCAAAACATTTTTTCAACCAAAACACACGGAGAAAGTCTTGTGCTTTGTTATATGTAGATTATTTTCTGTTCTTTTATGGTTTTGTGTTTTTTGTTAGTGATTTTTTCTTTTTGGATTTTATTCATTCTTTTTAAGTATTTTAGTGAGAAAACCAGTGTGGTTAATGCCCACAAAGTATCATGCTAAGAAATTGTTAGTCTCCAGCTGAAAACTACAAAGGGAGCGTTTGGTATGAGGTAATCTTAAGAGTAGAAATGAGAATCTGAAAGATTTCTATGTTTAGTACAATTATTGAACTTTTTAAAACCCAGGAATGTGAAGCCCATGGGATTCACATTACCACATTTTGGGGTAATCCTAAACCCACCCAATAAGGTGTTATTCACTTTCCCAGGAAAGTAATATCACGGGAATCAAAATCTCTCTCACTAATTTCTTCTCAGCCCATACGCCTATCTCGACGATAAGGAACAATTTAATGCACTACGTCGTTCGAGATGATCGTCGGTTTGTAATTCTGTTAGAGAAGAAGTTGTCGTCGCAGCTTGCCATTCGGAGAACACCGTTGCAAGATGTGATCGTTTGTTGGTAGTGGTGGAGATTTCACCGACATTTGAGTGACTCCATTCTCTTCATAGGATCCGACGAAGATCTCCACAGAAGCTCATTCGGCTGATCTGACTGTCAGCCAACAAAGTGACATCGGGGATCTCTCGCCGATCTTGCTCACATCACCTTCAAGAAGATGGAAGGTATGGTCTAGATTCACAAATGATTGAATAAAAGGGTAAAACTGTCTTCCGCCTATTCAGAAGTAATGGATTTCAAAGGAAATCAAAAAAGGTGGTATTCTTGAATCAGTAATCATGCACATAATGGTAAGCCAGGCTAATTAACTATCAGGTCGGATCCTTTTTCTATAAGGTCAATATGCTTTTTTTTTTTTTTTGAGAAATCGTAATAGCCCATTTTATTAAACCATTTGTAGTAAAAATAAATAGCATAGTTTAAATTTTCAATACATCGTGTTACAATTTTATCCTTATATTATTTTTATGTGGTAAATGTATTTAACCAAGAAATGCTTCATTTAGCAAACATTAACTTTTTAAAATTATATTTGACATTTAATTTTTTTTAAATTACATTTTAACCCCTTAAATGTTTTTTTTAATACACAACATTCCTACGCACAACCAAACACAGTAATACATTATTCCTGGGAATTTGAGATAAGATTCATGTATGGAACCAAACACAGTAATGTATTATTCCTGGGAATCATATTACCCTCTATCACTTTCTCAGGAATATGATTTCTACTGATTAGTGCGTACAAAATGCCCCCAAAGTATCATAGTAGGATACTGACAGTTGTTTGGCTCCCTGAATTTGGTAGTATTACGACATGACATGTCTAAGTATCATGGTAGGACACTTAGGACATCAACTGCAATTGGGTACTGCCTTATTCATTTCATGACTTTGATTCATGACTCAAGTCAAATTGTTACAGTATTTTTTCTAATAAAAATTTAAATTTAATTTTTTTTGTTACATTATTTTTCTCTCACATGCGCAACTCAAGTCATAACTTGAGTTGTGCAAATGAATATAAGTGGGTCTTAGACTTTCACTCCTTACTCTTAATTAATACCCTTTAATCAAAAAATTATATTAGTTAAAGTGGTATTGATCAAGAGTAAAGAGTAAAAATCTTTAAACAATGCATTCAAATGGTGAGTTCACTAATTTTCTCCAGTGAATATGCCCCTTTAGGAGCATAATTTTCATAAATAGCATCACTTTTAGATTCAACACATGGTTGCAGCTTTTGGGTTCTTTTTTATTCGCAGTCTATCACTAATTGACCGTAGTCTATCACCAATTGATTGCGGCCTATCACTGATTGATTGCGGTCTATTAGTAATTGACTACCAATTTTGCCTTTTGGGTTTTCTTTTCATAGTCTATCGCTAGTTGACCATAGTCTATCGTTGATTGACTACGGTCTATCAGTCATAGTCTATTAGACTATTTTAACATCGGTCTATCGCTGATTGATCTCGGCCTATCATTGATTGACCGTGATTTACGAATTCGATTTATATGAGGGTTCAAACCAAGGTGATTCTAGTTTTAATTTTGAAACTAGAACTATAATTCATGATTTTAGGTCCAAATCATGATTCTGAAACCAGAACTAGAATTATGGGCTTGAACCACCCAAAATCAATGGGTGGGTGAGTTTAGAATCAGAGGTGATTCATGGTTTAAAACATTACATCAGGGTTTAAATCTTAAATCATAACCATACAAATCAAACACTGATTCTGGGTGAGTCAAATCAGAATAACTTTTTATTTTTTTCTAAACAAACACTAGTTTGAACCTAAAATCATAATTTTAGGTTCAGAATCCTTATATCAAACAACCACTAAGTGATTGACTTTAGGAAAAAAAAAAAAAAAAAGACCATTGGTGTAAGTTTAAAAAGATTAGCATCCACTTAAATAAAGGTAGGAAATGGGCAAACCAATCTAATTATCCTATTATTAATAAGGAAAGTTTGACATTTTACGTCCTATGAAGATCTCAAGGTGCCAAGAAATAGATTTTTTACAACATCAAAGTACAAAATGCAAATTTAGATATAACACAATGTATTAAAATGAAAATTTTCTTAATTATTATAAATATTAAATCTAATTGAAATCAAATTAAAATAAAATATATATGCAAAACAAAATTTTTTTTATATAGATTAATTTTTTTATATTAAATCTAATTGAAATCAAATTAAAATAAAATATATATGCAAAACAAAATTTTTTTTATATAGATTAATTTTTTTATATAAATTAGACGGTTGAAAAATATAAACATGCAAATAATTCATTTTACTTATCAGTGCCATAAGAAAAAAAATATACAATACAAAACAAAAACAAAAACAAAAACAAAAACCACCGGTTTTAGGACACATCAACGGTCAAAACTTGTTTCTGTTGGCTACGAGGAAGTATAAAACCCAATGATCTGTTGGCTGTTGGTCATGAAATCGGAAGAAGCTAGCCCACTGGAACAGAAAATAGTGACAAAATAAACCATGGAAGAAGAAGAAGATGAAGAAATCTCCCAACTCCAAGCTCTTTATATACCTCACCAAAATACTTATAAGCATAATGGTAACTCAAAAAGTGAAGGATCAAATAAAGAGGATTTGACGATCAATCATGTATCGGAAATGCATGGCGTCTAGTCTTACAAGAAGATGCATTTCGAGCTCAATCAGAACCAGTACTACTTGGTGGGACCACGTTAACCCTGCTTCTAAGGACCCCATTACTGGCGTCACTGAAGCTTTTCTTGCGGACCCAAATCCCAACAGGATCAATCTTAGAATGGTATTTCAAATGGGGTTTTGTTTTGTTTTTCTTTTTTCTTTTTTTTTGGTGGTAATGAAATTTTTGGTTTTTGGAATTTATGACTGATGCTTAATATTTGGGATGAAACCATTAGGGGGCTTATAGGGATGACGAGGGGAAATCTGTCGTTCTACAGTGTGTTCGAGATGCTGAGGCCAAGATTGCGGGTTCTGAGTTCTTGTGAGTACCGTGTTGATTGATGTTAAATATGATTAGCGTTTGATTCGGAAAAATAACCCATTTGTACAAGAGATCTGTTTCTTTCTTATACTCAAATTTAGAGTGGGTTATGTTTGTTAGTCTAAGTTTGATAGGCAGATTTTTTTTTTTTTTGTTCAGGAAAAAAAAAAATAATTATATGCTCACTGATAATTTTATTAGTAGTTCCGATTATATTTTAACTTGTTTTCAGAATAGAACTTTCCTTTTTTTTACAAATGCTGTTGCATTTATCTATTTTTACTCGTTTCAGCGTTTTAATCTTGTCAAATAGTGCTGGAATCTAATGAAATGTTAGCCCAGATGATGCTACATTAATCCTAGTCATTAAAAAATCATGTGTGTGTTTGTAAGAAACTTCAGTAGTTTTTGTCTGTATTTTTAAGAAACTTGCATATTCTAGCTCTTTTCACATTAAAAGACAGTTGATTTTTGTTCAAAAATTTATAGAAGGGATCAAAAGTTAGTTAGTCCCTTTTTATTTTTCTTGTTTTTTGTTACCTGCAGACAAAACACACTGTTTGGCTAGAAAGAATGAGAAGGAAAATGTTTAGAAGTAGAGGAAAATCTTTGATGGAAATCTCTGAGTGTGATTAATCTGGGAGAGTGAACACTTGTATTAATAGTTGAATATAATTACATCTGTTCTTCTAACTAATTACACAAGTTGTCTAACTAATCAAAATACCAATCCTACCAATCCTGATTCTATAACTAATTCAATACAACCTGGGTATTCCTCTAACTAACTTTACCAACTTGACTCTGCTGAGCTGGATTCAAGATCTGAACTGGCACTTCTTTCTGACTTGATTGGCTAATGTCTTCAACGCGCCCTCTCAAACGAAAAGGGGATTCAACCACATTGAGTTTTTCTCTTATTCTGATAAATCTACTGACAGAGAGACCTTTAGTCAATACATCAGCTGTTTGTTCAAACATTGGCACATAATCTTATCTCCTTATTCAGCACCTTGTCTCTAATAAAATGAATATCTATTTCTATATGCTTGTTACGAGCATGATATATAGGATTTGGCAGCAGCTCCAATATTGTCACACCAAATAATCGGTTTGGCTACTAAAGTAACCCCAATCTCTGTCTACAATGCCTGTAACCTTGTAATTTCTGCAGCTACGTGAGCAAGTGCTCTATACTCTGCCTCAGTACTTAAGCACTACATGCTGCTTCTTTGAGCTCCAAGACACCAAACAACCTGCTAGAAAAAAACAATAAGCACTAGTTAACCGCCTGGACAGCTTGCCCAATCAACATTAGCAAGCTTGTCAATTGCAGTTGATGTCCCGGTTTAAAAGAAATCCCACGAGTGACAGTACCCTTTAAGTACCTTAACACTCTTTTGCAGGCTTGCCAATGTACTTTTGTAGGACTTTGTAAAAATTGACTCAGTTTACTTACAATGTAGGAAGTATCCGGTCTAGTAATAGTCAAATATTGTAAAGCACCATTAGTGCTTCTGTATAAAGTGCCTCTGTATAAAGAAGGATCTCTCATTGGCTCCCCCTCTGTCTTGGACAAAGTAAGGCCTGGAGCAACTGGAGTAGACCAAGGCTTTTGCACCAAACATATAAGTTTTAGCCAGTAGATCAGAAATGTATTTAGACTGAGACAAATAAAGATCAGACTTGTCTCGATAGGCCTCAACCCAAGAAATAATGCAGACCTTAACTCCTTCAAGGCAAACTGACTGTTGGGATCCTTGATAAGCTGAGAAATGAGAGAAGATGAATTGCCAGTAATGAGGATATCATCTACATATAAGAGAAGAAGCAGCAAAACTCTATTTTTATGTTAGATGAAAAGAGACACATCAGAATGAGAATTATGAAAACCCCAAGCAGAAGAGATTCGCACAACCTGTCATATGATCTGTTGCCCCGGAGTCTATCACCCAGGGTTCAATCGTTTTATATATACCACTTAGAGCAGTCATGAAAGTACCTTTTTGGGCCAAAAGTGAGGTACTCGAGGCTGGCTGTGTCTGCTGACCTTGGGCAGTGGATTGACTCTGGTTGGATGATTGGGTATTTAGGATCTGGTATAGCTATTCCATTTGCTCCTTGCTTGGAGAGAAATTGAAGTTGTTGTCACTAGTCCTTGATGCAGTATCTGTAGTAACTTGAAGACCTTTGGAATCCCTTCTATTGTTGCGAGTATCCTTCCAATTATCAGGTTTACCATGCAATTTCCAGCACTTATCACGGCTGTGGTTTGACTCTGGCAGTGATCGCACCAAAGACTGCCACTCTTCTTTTGACTCCGGGATTCCCCGCGAGAATTTTCAGGTCCGCAGGCTGAGAAGGTGGAGTTCTCAATTGTGGATTTTACAGTACCAAGCATCACACGTTTGCGAGTTTCTTCTCTTCGAACTTCAGCAAAAATGTCCTCAATATTTGGCAATGGCTTAGAGCCAAGTAGACGCCCACGAACTTCATCCAGTTCCTTGTTAAGACCTGAAAGGAAATCATAGATCCTTTCTTTGTTCACCATCTTTTGATGATTCTCAATGCATCCTGAACACAACCAATGACCATTATTAAATAGGTCTACTTCCTGCCATAATTTTGTAAGAGCATTGAAATAAGTCGTAACATCCATCTCGGCTTGAGTTAGATTGCGAGCCTTGTTTCTTAGTTCAAACAATTGAGAGGAATTTTCAAGATCAGAATATTGTCTCTTGGCTGCCTCCCACATGTGCTTGGCAGTTGTGTAGCACATAAAGCTTGCACTAATCTTCTCATCCATGGAGTTGATTAACCATGCCATTACCATTGAATTCTGAGCATCCCAAGTCTGGAAAGATGAATCTGACTCTTCAGGTTTCTTGGTAGACCCATCAAGATAGCCATACATGCCTTTCCCTCAAATAACCATCTCCACAGATCGCGACCATGGCAGGTAGTTTTTTCCATTGAGTTTATGAGAGGTGATTTGGAGAGAGGAATTATCTGAGTAAAGGACGTGAATTGTGGCAGCCGTCATTGGGGTCGGTTGCAAGGGGACCGAGGTCTCCGAGCCGTCATTCCCTTTGGTGCCGGTCATGGCCGTTCCCCAGGGAAATGTTGGAGGTCTGCCCGCCATAAAAAACTAGAGAGAGGCGATGTTGAAATTATACGCGGAAGAGTGCTGCAGCACTGGACAACGGTGCTGCAGTTCTGAATCGCTGAGAGCGTAGATGGAGAGGAGACAAAAAAATATTAGAGAGAGAGGAGAGAAACGAAGGCGCGGTTAACGGGGAGCATAGTTACCGGCTCTGATACCATGAAGAAAAACGGAATAGAAGAAACTTCTCCTCTCATACTTTATTACGTGAAAGGTAAAGGCCTTATATAGAGAAACTTGACAACAAATCTGTCAATAATTCTCCACGATTGTAGAAACTAATAATCCCTTAATTTAAGGGATAAATCACAAAATTAAAACTAGAGAGATAATAGGAAACAACCTTCCATATCTCTTCATTTAAACACAACCTAAAACAAATCCCTAGAAAATAGGAAACCAGAAACGGGAGATTTGTCAACAAATAGTTTACACGGTTTCCTACTTATAGGAAAATACAAGGAGAAAAAATAGGAATAAAATAACTATGCCAGCTAACCTATTACCAGACTTTCATATTTTACAAGATTTGACTAGTTACTAATTCTATATTTACATATAACAATCATCTAATCAAATCTCCTATAATTCGGCAATATCTCAGCTAAATCTTCTATTTTCCAACAAGAAGGTTACTGAGGTTTGACACGTTTAGACCTAGAAGGTTTGGCTGGATTAGAAATATAAGGAACTGAGGCCTCAGGTAAATAGGTGGGACAGGAGTTGATGTTTCAGTTGATAATATGTTTTCAGGTAAACCAGTTGGGACAAGGGTTGATGTTTCAATTGATATGTCGGATGATACAATAGGTGGTAAATCAGGCAGGACATCGTAAGACAATAAAGTATTAGTCTGAAGAAGAGATTGACTTACAGAAGTGTCAGTACTACGGGAAGCGGGGAGACTTGCTGAAGGAACTTCATTTGTAGGAACTGATCCATCTGGCAAAGCTATAGATATTAATAAATGGAAGTTGAGGTAACATAATAGGAGACAAATCAACTTTGGGATTATGTCTGGAACCAAACAACTCTGAATAAGGAAATTCAAATTCACAGAAAACAACATGCCGTGAAATATACACACAACTTGAGGGATGGAGACACTTGTACCCTTATGTTGAGGACTATAGCCAAGAAACAAACAATTTGAAGAACGAAACTCCAACTTGTGATGATTATAAGGACGTAAGGTTGTACAACCAAATACTTTTAAAAATTTATAGACAGGTTTGGTTTTGAACAACTTTTGATAAGGACTTTGGATGAGTAAAACAGGAGTTGGTAATCGGTTAATGAGATATGTAGCAAAAAAGAATGCTATCCACCAAAAAGTCAAAGGCAAGGGTGCTTGAGCTAACAAAGTTAGACCAAGTTCTACTAGATGTCTGTTTTCTTTCTGCTTTCCCATTTGTTCATGCACATGAGGACAATGATGTCTCATAGAAATGCCACATTCAGAAGAGGTGGAAATTTTTTGTACTCACCACCCCAATCTCACCTTACAAGTGGGAGGTAACACCTTATTGAAAATTGCTAAAGGAGTTGGAAGGTGCCTATAGGGCTAACAATATCATGTTGCTGGTCATTTAATGAACATTAAGACCTCGTTCAATTCGCAGATTTGAGTTTTTAATTCGAGCTGAGATGTAATTTTATGTGAGAGCTTTTCACTGTAGCAGAAAAAGTTAGACATGACTTTTTGTGAGAGCTTTTAACTGTAACAAAACTCAAATTGAAAACTCAAATTGGTGAAATGAACGAGTCCTAAAAGACTTGAGCAGCTAGTTTAAGCTCTTAGATCCAGTGTTATCGACGTGGAGTGTTGACTCGGACTGAGGAGAGATGTGGTATTGCACAATATAGAACTCGATTTTCGTAGAATAATCCAATTCAAGTATATTTATCTTCTTTTTTTATTATTTATTTTTATGAATGATTCTATGATATTTGTCAGTTTTATGAAATATAAAACTATCTCATTGTAAATGT